GAACCAAAACCAATGCCTTTAAATGTTTCAAAACAAACAATAGCCTTCACTGCCCTGTGGGTAAAGTCCACACTCGCAGTGTTACGCCCGGAAGGGAGGTTCCACCACCACAGCCGTTTCCTCCGATCTCACCTCTCTGGACTCCTGGCCACACCACAGCCGACCCCGCCAGCTTTCTACACCCCACAGCCCCCGTGCTCTCTACCTCTGGGCCTTGCCCATGCTGTTCCATCTAGCTGCATGCTCTTCCCCTCCCGACTGCCCCTTAATTTGGCCTTACACGTCCTCCAGCTTGACGCAGGGCACTTGTCCCCAGCAGCATGGCCCTGCCTGGTGGCACCCAGTGCCCTGGCTTCCCCTCGGTCACGCCGATGCTCCCACTGTGCCACAAGGGCCTTTCTGCAGGCCGGCCTCCCTCACGACCTCGCAACAGACTTGAAGGATGGGGCCTGGGTCACCGACAATGTTTAGGGCCCAGTGCTGTGTCAGGCGCACAGTAGGCATCAGAAACTATTGCTGACCGAACCGACAGGTGACTGACGCGCTGAATGGGTGAACAGTGGGCACCCGGGCTTATCCCTAAAGCAGGCCTGTTTGTGGGGTGGGATCCCTGGACCCGGCCCCAGACGCCGGGCCTGCGAGACAACCTGGAGGGGCAGACAAAGCAGCCAGCAGCAGGGCCGCCCGCTCGACTCCAAGGTGGCTTTTATTTCCTCTTCTGCGGGTGCCAAGTCCCTGAACAAATATTTTCCTGGAGTGGAAGAACGGCTTAGCTCCCAGCCTTAAGTGCTGGAAACACCGGCTGGGTAGGGCAGGTTCCAGGAACCGAGGAAGACAGCTCGGCTGCAGCTGGGGGAGGGGGTCCTGAGGGCTGTCGTTGGGCGGTGCCACCCTCCTACTGTCCTACTGTCCCACTCTCCGAGGGGGCCCTGCTCTACCTAGCCCAGCAGGCCAGGCCCAGGCCGGGAAGCAGCCCTGCTCTGCTTGGTGTGCAGCGCGAGAGGCTTTGCCCCGGGCCTCTCTGCCTATAAATTAGAATCCTCTGGGATTCTGAAGAAAACGCGGGCCATGTGGCCTCCCTCATTTTTGCTGAAAAAGCTACAGTGAGGTTTAAAGGAACTAATTAGAATCTCAGAAGCCCTTTTATAAGCAGTTTTTTCCCTTTAACTTTCTTATTGAGGAATAACATACAGAGTACACTCATCTAAGTGTATAGCTGGATGATTTATTTACATATACATTCACCCTTGTAATCACCACCCACATCAAGCCAGAGAACATTTCCGGCACCCCAGAAGGCTCCTTTGTGTCCCTGCCTAGTCAATACCACACCCTCAGCCAGAGGAACCCACTGGCTTCTATTGTCATCCACTAGTTTTGCCTGTTCCTGGACTTCCTACAAATGGAATCACGTAGTATGGTTTCTGTTGTTTCCGATTTCTTGGGCTTAGTATATTGCCCATGACATTCATCTACGTTGCACATGTTGGTAGCCTGTCCTTTTTTATTGCTGAGTAATATTCCACTGTATGAATATACCACAATTTGTCATTCTCCCAGCGATGTGCATTTGGGTGATCTCCACGCTTGGACTCTGCTGAGTACAGCTGCTGAACCATTCTACGCACGCCTCCCGGCTGACATGTGCTGTCCTTCCACTCGGGTCACAGGGTAGGTGTGCGCTTGGTGTCAGCAGGTACCGCCAAGCGGATTAACTCTCCCTCCGACAGCCTCTGAGAGCGCCAGTGGCTCCACACCTCCTCCAGCATGATGTCGTCCGTCTCTAAGTCCAGCCTTTCTGGTGGGGCCGGGGCGGTGTCTGGCATTGTTAATAAGCTTGTAAACATTGCTTGACTTTCAGAGCAGGACAGCAGCACCAGCCAGCCACGATGAGCACCCCAAAGGCAGAGGCCCCCACACTCACAATGAGTCCTGCGTGCCAGGCCTCCTGCTGGGCTGCATACGAAAGCCTCTGCGAGCCCCCAGGTTGGCAGGAAGACAGACAGACAGCTGCCCTAACGGGGCGAGAGGTGCCCCACAGGGGTGACCCAGAAGTTATGGGGGCACAGAGGGCTTATGTGTCTCCCCCAGCCTTGAAGTTGAGCACGGGGTAGAACTGTCGAGGACCTGAGTTGGGGCACATGCACGCCCATCTTTGCATGCTCACACACTCACACAAGTGGGCGTGGCTCAAGGATGGGGGGGCAGAGGTGTTGGGGAGTGGGAGGAGGGAAGAGAGCCAGGGGAGAGCTGTTCCCACAGCCAGGAGGAGCTGGCAGGACCCTCCAGCTCCCGCGGCTTTAGGGCCTGTGGGCCCAGAGCAGATTCTCAGCCCTCCGGGCTCTCTGCTCATTCGGCTCCAGGGACAAGGGTTCATCTCCTCCCGGGCCAGCCCAGCCCTTCTCTTCTGCCGGGTGCCTGGGAGGTGGGAGCATAGCCGGGCTTGGCTCCTCTGCAGACCCATCAAGAAGAAGCCTTTTCTCCCGGATGCTGTTGTGGGCCCACTGCCCCTGCCTTGACTAGGGCCCAGAGGACACCCTTATCCCAGGGCTTTTTCCCTCAGGCTGCCCTTGGGAATGTATCCCTGTGGGGGAGCAAGGCGAGGCGGGGGCGCACCTCCAGACACTGCCAGTTCTGCCTCTACAGTTCCAACCCCCCCCCACAGCTGTCCTGTGGCTGGGCCCGCCCACCCTCTGCAAGACCTCACCTTCCCCACAGCCCCTCAAGGCTCCCTCTCCCTCTCCGGCCGCCCCGCACACCCCAGCCCTGTACCTGCCCGCACTCGCTTGCCCTGCACATCCACAGGGAGCCTTAGAGCCCAAGTCCTCACCTTTGCCGAAGCTGTGCCTTCCCCCGTTTGAGAGGCTGATTTGAATTTGTCCTTCCAGACCCAGCTCAGCCACCCTCTGGCATCTCTGTGATCCAGACTCTGGCCCAGCTGTCATTGACACCTCTCTCATTTGTCTCCCTTGGGCTGCCACCTCCCTGAGAGCAGGGAGCAGAACAGAAGTGCAGGATCTTTATTCTGGCTATGGAAACATATCCAGAGCACAACCCCGGAGGCAAGCGTGGCAAAAAATGCAATTTAAAACAGACCGCTGCAAATTTAGAGCACAACACAATCTAAGAGAAGATGGCGCATTTGTTTGAAAAATAGCTTGAAAGAACTCCTAGTGGACAATCCAGTGACCCCCCCCATGCCCACACAACGTACACACACACTCCCACACCCAGGCCGTGCATGGGAGGAAAAAACGAAATAGAGCCCAGTTGTTCCCCCGCCAGGCACAGAACACGAAGAAGGGAAGGAAAAGGGGAGGAGGTTTGGGACACAGGTGGCAGGTGGGCCTGAGGAGGAGGTGTCAGACACTGCTTGAGGCGGGCATGTCCAGGGAACTCCAGACGACCTTCAAACACCCTCATGTCATTCTTTACTGTTAGCCTCAAACAAGCAGCAAAGTATGTTTCAGGCACAGCCCCGTCCTGGTGGTGCCCTGGGGGGGAGGGACCCAGGGCAGGAAAGCAGAGAAAGAGAGGGGTTAAGGATGAGCAGGACCAAGAGGTGGGACAGGGATGGGGTGTTTAATCAATTTGGATATAACAGGGGCAGATGGGCCAGGGGGCTGAGTCTTGGAACCTTGTAGGTTTCACCTGGAGGGAACACTATTAATAAAAGCATTAATATCTAGGGGCTAATTCCACAACTGGGACCTCACTATCTAGGCCAGGGAACTGGTAGAAAACAAGTACTGAGTGTTTTCAGTGTTTGTTGAGTGAATGAATGACCTGAAGGGCTTCATCTCTGCCTTCAACGCCTTTGGAGCACAATGTGATAGGGAAGAGAATCCTCCACCCTGCAAAGCTGCCTGGAGCCTGCAGTCCCTGCCCTGGTAGCAGGCGCAGAGGCCAGAAAGGAATGGTCCCTCCCGCTCTGCACTGCCTAAGACATGCCTGGGGTGCGGGGTCAGCGGCTGACCTGCACCAGGGCCAGAGAGTGGATGAGACGGAGTACGGGAAGGCAGCTAGATGGCCTAGAACACTGGGGGCCCTGCAGCCACGGTGCACTGTGCTTCCTCAGCCCCCAGCTCTCCCATGCTGTTTTCCCTCATGTGCTGATGACTTCAGTTAGACCTTCGGCACACAAGACTGCTCGCTAGTGAGTTTTCAGGAATCTCACAATGAGCAACCAGGATAGCAAACATTAGTCAGTGGGGAGCCCCTTGTGCCCTTGAAGAAGAGAATGATGTAGGGTCCCACCCCAAGAAGGTGACAGGGCAGGACATTGTCAGGCCAAGAAGAGATTCAACCACCACCACAGCAGCTGTTGCCCAAAATGACAAGTACCGTTTATTGCAGTTACATGAATGGGCCCAGCCAAAGGCCTGGGCGCGACCACCAGATGAGCACGGTCACAAAACCCTTCCCCCACCCTCAAGCCATGTCCAGTCCTACACTCCGGGCAGAAAGTCCCAGTATCGAGCACAGTGCACAGGTTCCCTTGCTTGGCAGTGCGTCTCTGATCCACAGACCAGCCCACAGAGCTGCTGGAACGTTGTCACATTAAATAAGCAAGTGCTGGAGTTCCTGGGAGCCCTGGCCTGGGGGTCTCTGGTCCCCGCGGAAGCGTGGGAGGAGGGCTGTCCAAAGTGTGTGCGAGGCAGGCCTGGGCGTCACATCTCCACCGGGGCCAGCAGCCTCGGGCCAGGCTGGGCTGGGCTGTCCACCTTCTTCAGCCATGGAGAAGATGTGGTTTCGAGCCCAGCAACACAGCAGCTGACATCAGGCCTTATAAAAGCTTGGCCGAACCTACCGACCTCCAGAAGAATTTCAGCCAAAATAAAAAGACAAATAAACCAGAGGGACTCTGGACTCAGGATCCCTCCACGTGGAAAGATGAAGGCACAGAGATGCCAGCCAAGTTCCCCAATACGGTGGTGTTTGCAGAAAAGGCCAGTCACGTCCACACACAGCACAGAGCAAAGAAGCAAAAGGCAGTAGAGTTCACAGGGCTACCTTATATTAAAGTTTATTACATTTGGAAAATCTACTGTACAGGGAAAAACCCATTGGATTCAGTAGAGTTTTGCCAAAAGCAAAAGACTATTACTCTTTGGAAAACGTTCCTGATTCCAGCCCAGGGCAGGGCCACAGGAGCCAAGGGTGACCCTGGTCCTTGATGGAGGCGTGCCGAGTCAGCTGTGCTCAAGACGCCCCTTGTCAACTTCCAGGGGGAAGCATCCCCCCCGGGAGGGCGCCAAACGCAGGAGGGGCGAGGTCTGCAAGAGAGTCTCCGGGCCACGGCCACCCGCTCCCCGGCCCCAAGGTCCTCCCTCCATCCGAGGTGTGAGCTGCCAGCATTCACGTCACACAGGCTCCTCCAATGTCACGGCAGCACCAGCCCCAGCATGGCCGTGAGCTCAAGGTCACAGGCATGACTGCTCAAAAGCAGGGGCAGCACCATGGCAGCCTGGACTGGCCAGCTTGCCCACAGGCCACCAAAAATGGGGCCACCAGACAGAGTCCATACCCTGTTGCACACATGAGCGATAAACTCAGAGACAACACACAAACTAAGCCTACATTTTGGCTTCCAGATTTGGTTCTCCTAGTTTAAAAAAAAAAAAAAATTTTCTTAACCCTGATGCTGTCTCCCGACCGTAGATTAGGGAAGCAAGGTGGAGGATACCAAGTCAACTTACTTAACTTACCTCAGAAGTAACAAAGTCTACAGGGGCTATGAACAAAGAAACTAGAGGAAACATGTGCAAAAACAAGTTGGTATCTAAATTAGACTTCCCCACGAAACAGCGTGAGCGCTGACGGAGCCCTGAACTCTCCCCGGCCACTCAGTGGGCAAAGACCCCCAGACTGTTGGTTCTACAGTAAGTGCTCTAGAAGTGTCAGCCCGAAGGCCCCACCCACAGAGGGCCCTACAGGTCCAAAGTGGTTGGGTCCCCTTTCTCTCCAGAGCTGGGCCTGGGGAGTCACTGCTCCAGTTTGGGGAAACCGAGTCAGAACGGTGCGACTCCAGGCGCTGGCTGTGGTGGAAAGGTCATATGCAAGAAACCCTCTGCGCCCCAAGTCTGCAGGCGGAAGTCAGAGAAGCAGAGTGAAGCTCCCCGCACACCCCAGGACTCCGTGGGCAGGGAGCAGCCAGCGGGGCTGAGTGCTGGGGAGGTGGCATGGTAACAGGGGGCCAGGGCTTGCAGTTCTTCACGGAAGAGAAAAGTGGGGGCCTAGTGAGTGGCGGGGGAGGGGGAGGACAGTGCCCCCGTCAGGCGTAGAACTCCTCCTGCTTGGTGGGCTTCTGGTAGGCCCCGCCGTTGGCTTGCTTCGGCTCCTCCAGGGAGTAGCTGCCCTCGTCCTTCTTCTTCATGCGGTACAGCACAAAGCCCACCAGGCACACGGCGAAGATGAGCCCCACCAGGCCTCCAGCGATGACCCCTAGGGTGGGTGGACAGGGGCCAGGTTAGCTCGCGGTTCCTGGGGCTCTGTGCAGTCCCTCCCCCACCAGGCAGCCCCAGAGGTGGCCTTGGCTCTGGTCAGAGCCCCACCCCAAGGGCTAAAGACAGCCACCCCCACCCCAGAGTAGAAGTTTGGCCCCCAGCCACCCACCTAAGAGCAAACTCACCTCCTAGCACCTCCTTCCTGTCCAGGAGGCCCTGCGAGGCCCCTGTGGCCCCTTGATCCACGGGGGGCTGATTCCGGTGGTCATGTTCCATGGGCACCACGGCTGTGTTCTCCCCGGAAGTCTCAAAGGTGAAGTCCTGTGGAAGGCAGGGGAGGTCAGTGGGGCTGGGCCACTGCAGGCAACAGCATCCAGCCCCATGGCCAGTGCCTGCCTGTGATCTCCCCTGCCACCTGCTGAGAAGCACCCAGACTCCACCTCTGGGACCCAAAGCCCAGCCCTCTGGCCACATCACACCGGACCCTGGCTGGACTGTGGCACAGATACCACAAAAACTGATACAAAGCACACATTTTTTATATGGAAATAAGTAGGCTTATTGTAGTATAATGTGTAAAATTCCCATGATGCTATAAAATAAAAATAAGACTTGGTATTAATAGAATTTTCACCCTTGCAGCAGGGGCCTTGAGTAAGTTTGGGAAGCCCTCTCTTGGGTGATCTTTAGGAATCTTTTGCTCTGGTCTCATGAATAGCCTGTCTTGCTCTATGCAAGGCCCTGGGGGCAGGGGAAGGTGGGCCCCTGTGCTCACGGGCACAGGGTGTTGGGCTTGCCAGGTGCCAGGCACTAGGGGCCACCCAGTGTCTCAGGAAAGGCAGAGGCCACTCACCTGCTCCCCTGAGCCCTCTCCTGCCGGGAGCTGACTCGAGGCTCCATCCTCAGCAGCCCTCTCGGTGACAAAAGACCCTCCATCCTCTACGCTGGGAATGTGAGGGTCGGCTTGGCCAGGTCCTGTGGGAGCTGAGGTCTCATGGTGGTCAGGCTGCATGTCTCTGTGGGGGTGGGAGGTGGCAGGTGCCTGAGCGGTCGTGGCTCTGGCTGTTGTGGCCCGATGGGTGGTTGAGAGCTGCGTGGTCTCCCTGGGTGGGAGGGTGGCCTCCTGCTCCCGGGCAGTGAGGCCAGGCTCCGCTGCTGCCAAGACTACAGCCTCTCCCTCCTCGGGCCCCCCTCCAGTCAGCACGATGGAGGTGGAGGTGTCCATGTCCTCTGGACCAGTGGGCTCGGGAGCCATGGGTGTGGTTGTCAGAAGCCACATGTCCTTCCAGGTGGAGGCGGTCTGCTGCGACAAGGTGCTGTCTTGAAAAGCACCTGCAGGGCCAGAAGCAGAGCACGTCAGCGTGGGGGAGGCCCCAGGGCACCCAGACCAGCCAGGCTCGGGCTGCGAGAGTGGCTCTGACTCCCAGGCCAGCAAGGAGAGCAACCCTCCCTGCCCCGAGAAGCTGTACCCTGGGATGGAGCTAGCTGAGGCTAAACTTGACTTGGAAAATGAACACGGAGAGCCACCTTTCCCACTGCACATGCCCGGGGTGGCCTGGTTTCCAGAGCCATGACAAAGAAGCCAAGGCCATCGGGAAAGGAGCTTTCCTGCAGCAGTGGGGGTGGGGGTGGCCTCCATTAGGGGCCGACTGCCTTATCCCCAGTGTATACACCTGTGGCCGCTTCCTGCCTGGAAAGGCTCCCGCTCCCAGGAACAGATGCCGTATCCCGCCTTGCAGCTCTCAGGCCTCTGCCTAGACCGCTCCCCCACGGATGGCTTTGGCGTGCCCTCCTCAGCTTTCCCCCCTCTTCCAAGGTTCCCTCAAGAGCCACCTCCTCTGGGAGCCCTCCCTAACCACCTCCAGCTCAGAAATTGGGAAGGGAACATAGATAGAAAAGCTACTGCCCAGCCGGCTCTGTGCTGCCTTATGGCTCCAAACAACCTTATCAGGTCAAGGTACTACTCCCATTTTACAGATAAGAAGACTGGAGCTCGGAGAAGTCAAGTAACCTTCCAAAGGTTGCCTAGCGAGCAAAGAGGAGATCATGAGCCTGTGTGCAGCAGGCAGCCCTGGGGCCTCCGGGAAACTACAGCCCTCGCTTCACCTCCAAGTGTGTTTTCTCCTTAACAGGCGTCTCCGTGCAGCGCGGACCCCATTCTTTTGCTCAGCATCACCCTTCAGACCCAGCTGGACAGGGCGGGGGTGCCCTCAGTAAATGCTCAGTAAGCACAAGCAACCGCCCGGCCGCTGCCCCCAGCCACAGCCTGTGTTAGCCTCACCTGCGCCTGAGCCGGAAAAGTTGTCAGAGTCATCCCCAGAACCATCCTGATCTTCAGGGGGCACATTTGTAGCCATAATTTGCTGGAAAAGGATCAGAAAAAGGTGTGAGTGGAGGCGGGGTGGGGCCCTGCGGTTCCCGGGTCCCCATCCTAGACAGCCGAGTGAGCTGACCCCAGCCTGCACAGCACAGGTGCCCGGGTAGGAAGCCTGCTCGTGTGGCTCTGGGACCCTCACCTCCGGGCAGCCCTTTGGGCCCCCACACACCCCTGCTACTACAACACAGCCTGGTGCTGGGTGCAGGGGTGCAGGGACACACGAGACGGGAGGGAGCCCCAGACCTCTCAGAGGGCAGACAGACACTGTTACTGGGAGCACAGGCTGGGGGCCCCATGGGACTTCATAAGCCCACCCCACACTGAGAATCAGGTCCTGAGGGCTGTCGGCCATGGAGCTCTGGGGGCCGAGATTGCCGACGCTGCCTTTCTGAGGGGCTTTCAAGAGCCCCTAAGGACAATCCCACAACAACGCAGATCCAGAGAGACAGCTTCCAGGCATGCTGGACACCAGGGTGTGGACCCCAAGGGCCATGCTGCCCCCATGGGGCAGCCCCAGGCCTGGCCATGATGCTCCTCCCACACCAGCCCAGGCTCCCAACCACAGTAGAGACTGGGTCCAGGCCCTCTGGCCAGAGTATTGTCCTTCTCAGGGAAGGAAAGACAGGGCAGCCTTCCTTCCAGGCTCATCTGGAAGGGCTCTGCATGAAGCCTCTAGTAAATGGGCTGTGGGCCCGGGATAGACCCTGTTTGCAAATGGCAGCCCCAGGAAGGCCACGGGCCTGGCCCAGCTCTAAGAGTCTGAGTGCAAACCCATGCCCAGTTCCCAGGGCAGGGGCTCTGAGGAGATGGAACATGCCGCGCACCGTGAGCAGGCCTGTGCAGAAACTCTGGGGGTGCAGGGACAGAGCCAGGACCACCTCTGCCCCCAGCCCTGGTCCCAGCATGGCAAGTGGGGAAAGGAGGACCCAGCAGCAGCCAGGTGGCAGGAAGGGTGGCATTGAGAGTTCTGTTCAGCAGCAAGGCTTTGACCCAAACAACCCCACCTGCTACACCGTCCATCTTTCGAGGGCCCCAGTGTCAGGGACCAGAACAAAGAATGAATGAAGCAGCAGGACACAGCTCAGCACACAGGCTTCATAGACCCGTGACCTCCGCCACTGACTAGTCATGTGACCCTGGGGATGTCACTGAGCCTCTTATGGCCTCAGTCTCCCCATCTGTAAATTGAGGATGATAGCAACACCTACATTCCATGACTGGTGCAAATGTTCCATGAGATTATGCAAGTAAAGAACCTAACAGAGGCTGGCACGTAGCAAGTACCACAAAGGCCACTGCTCTGACCAGGGAATGAGAGCCACTCAGCCTGGGGAAGAGGGATTCTGGGGCACACGGCAGCCTCAGATGCCAGCAGGCCTGTCTGAAAGAGGCTGGGACAGAGGTGGACAGGGTTTCATGAGAAGAGGGGGCAGGAGGGAGCCAGTTCGCCAGCAGCCTCTGCACAGACTTGTCAGAGGGGCCCGCCTAAGGCTGGGCTCCAAGGGAACAGGGCCGCCTTGGCCCAGGAGGTCTTACTGAGCCCTGGTCACAGGCCCATGGGCCTCACTCTTGAGTAGAGCAGGGAGGGACAGGCACGACCTTTGGCCTCCTGAGGCAGCCTTGGAGTAGAGCTGGATCAGGTGGAAGCTCCCCATCTCGGGGCCCAGGTCTCAGGGACACATCAGACACGTGTAGAAACTGCAAGACTAGAAATAACATTGAACTTCCTTTGAAAGTACAGAAGCAAAACTGTAGCCCCCCCCCCCCCACCAAGAGTAAGGTTTTGACCTTAGAAAGGGCTTTCACGGCCCATCTACAATGAATAGTCACAGCCCTCCAGGGCCCATCTACAATGAATAGTCACAGCCCATTCCTGCACCCACATCAGACCACATCCTATCTGTACCATCCCCAGGTGCTTCAAATACTTGTGATGCTTCCACAGAGCTTTGAAGCTGCCCCCAGCCTCCCCCAAGCCTGTACCCTTCAGCAGCAAAGAATGCCACCAGCAGATAGGCACAGAGTGGGTGCCCCCCCACTCACCCAAGGCCTCTGCCCCGCCACTCCTGCTGTACCAAGTCCCTCCCTCGGAAAGAAAGCTCAGGATGCGGCAGGGGATTGGGGCTCTGAACCCACAACTCTACTGGGTTATAAGGAGTGCCGAACCTTCCAGAAGCCAGAGTCATCGGATCCAAACCCTATTCAACAGATGAAGTGACAGAGGCCTGCAGAGAAGACGCACACTGGGGCCCTCCAACCTCAGAGGCACCACCCTCTGTGCCTCTGGGCTGTGACTGTTCACTGCGGATGGGCCATGAAAGGCCCTTCTAAGTGAGACCCAGGCAGGCACCAGGAAGGCCGGCCCCTCATCTACACAGAGAAGCCCAAAGAGGTTAACAGTTTCCCAAGAGCAGGGCTTCTCCGCTGACTGGGTAACACTTTGGGTCTGCCCAGTTCCTAAAAACAATTTGTTCCCTTAGCTCTGTCTGCTTATCCCTCTGCGATCTTGTTTACACAACAAGTTCTTAAGCAAATGTTCTCTCAGCTGAAACCAGCTCCCTGGCCTCAGGGCGCCTCTCCCCACTCTAGGGATGGCTAGGGTGACTTCCCAAACCTCCTCCAGCTTGGACTTTCTGTGACAGCACCTCAGATGAGGAAAACAGGAGACTGCAGCCCCCTGGGGAGGAAATTAACATAAACTGCTGAGTTTGAACTTGGGTTACCAAGGTGCCAGCTGACTCTGGAGTCTTCCGTGAGACTTTCGGTTTCATTTAGCAGGCCTGCCACCCCGACAGCCTGCAGCAAACTGCCCCTCTCAAGAACAGGTGGGCTCAGCTTGGAGCCCACCTCAGGCTGCCTGGAAAGGCAAAAGGCAAACCAGCCTTGGACCTCTGCAAGTCCCAGCAAAATCGGCTGTTCTTTTAACAAATCAACAACCTTACGGTGCACGGTCTAGGCTTCCACACTTTCTGTTCGCTCAATGCAAGGGCCACCTTGCCCCTGCTCCGCCCACAGTGCAGACACTGCTTGGAAAGCACAGAGCCAGGCTCGGCTCCCTGGAGGTTGGGGGATCGTGGAACAGACACATGGAGTCCATGGGTGGAACAGACACATGGAGTCCATGGGGCAGGGACTAAGAGGAGAATGGTCAGCCCGTCTCCATTTAAGCCACACTGGGCCCCTCCTGGCCACACCCTGGGCAGGGTGGGGATGATCTGGGAAGGAGGGTGTGAAGCTGGGAAGCCTTTGCTGAGACAGGAAACACTTTCCACCCACTACCCTTTGATTCCTGCAGGTTCACCTGCAGGTGAGGCAGCAGGGCCAGGCTGAGCACCCCTGGCAGACAGGAACAGAACCTCGGCAAGGGTGAGGCCTGAGGCCTCCTCACCCGCCATCCCTCCCTCCCTATCCCCAGCCCTGAAGGACCACCTGACCGGGCTGAGCCCACGAGCACAATTCCTAGAGCCGTAGCCCAGTGGTGAAGGTACCGAGGTGCCAGCCCACACTTGAGAGGTGGAGAGAGGAGGGTGAGGACCAGAACGGGGCCAGGGCCGCCAGCACATTGGAGTCTGTGGGCAGAGGGCTGGCACAGAGCCTTCCGGAAAGCAGCCTCAAGCCAAGTTCTGCCAGCTCTCTCCCAACACTGGTCGTAAAGAGGGCCACCCTTCATCTCAGCAGAGCCCCTTGCCCTGGCTGGCCCTGAGGCTGAGGAGCGTGTGTGTTGCCACACCTGTCCGAGACATCGTGGGCATAAAAGCTCCTTGGCTGCATTGCAAACCTGGCTATCAAGTGGGCATCTCCGGGGGGTTCAAGTGAGGATGGTGGCACCAATCGATAACCAGAGAGGTCACCTGTCTGCCGTCCACCCTGACCCCATCAACCTGCAACCACCAGGTCCGAAGACCTGTGATTTCCAACCCAAACCCTGAATCACTAACGTGTAACATGTGTCACCTGCTGCTTGGCTTGAGTTATAGATAAAACACAAGTCTCTTAAAAAGCGCTACTGACTTCATAGGGTCGTGTTGCTTTTGCCAACATATTCCACATGTACAGTAGGTCATGGAATTTTGATATTTAATAGGTCTTCGACTTCAAAAATCTGGGGACAATTGTCCAGGGACTTTGGGGAAAAAAAGAGGGTAAGAAAATCTGGTCCCAGGCCTGGCAGAGCTCCCAGCCCCCAGGACACACAGCCAGGTGCCCTATTCCAGTGACGGAGGCTGGGGTACAGAGAGTCTCCCTACAGGGGGTTCTAGGGCCGGGCCTTGAAGCCCCCAGCCAGGCCCAGGAGAGGACAGCGCTAGCCCTAAGACACTGGCTCGGCCACGCTGGGCTCCTGACATGCAGTCTTCGCATGGCGGAGAGGAAGGGGAGGCTGTAACTGCTCCGTGTGGTCATGAAATCCCTGGCTTCTGTAGGTGGGAGCCGAGTCACTGAAGTCCCATCAGTCACAACCAGGCAGAAAGAGCTGCCCCTTATCAAGGAGCTGAGTCGCAGGCCGGACCCCAGGCCTTGGCACTAGCTCTGGGGCTGGTGGACAGGAGGGTCCCAGACCTGTTCCAGGAGCCCAGGCTGCCGGGCCAAAAGGCAGCAGGGCTCCACAGTTACGCCGGGATCAACGCTTGTCACTCCATCCAGTGGAGACCTCACACAACAGCAAACGTCCTCGGAAGCTTAAAACAGATTTGTGGTGATTTAGAAATCTTTACCCGCCTCAGTTTCTTGGATGGATCTATGATCTAAGGGAAACGGCTGACTCTCTCCTCTCCAGACCTCATGACTCCTAGGGCTGAGGTTTCTGAGCTGCAGAACCCTTGCCTTCTCCCCCAAACTGCACATCAAGACGACACCACACTGGCCGAGGGTGACGTCCAAACCATGACCTAATCCAGGCCAGGGGCTCTTAGCTTCAGGGTCTCCAGGAATCACCAGGATTTGTGACAAATGAAGTCTTCTGGCTCCAGCCCAGAGGCTGACTGTGCA